CCCTCCAAATTATAAAAATTACATTACCCACAATTTTTTTAATCAATATAGTGATTCATATGTACTCAAATAATTTATATAAATATTATTTTATTTTACTAATGATTAAATATTGAAAATGTAGTATGTCCATTATCTAGAATTTTAATAATAAATTCACATATCTTGAAAATGTGATATGTTTATCATCTATAAGTTTAATATTAAATTCACACATATTACTTATAATATTTTATGTACATCTGTGCATGTGCATAAGATGATAACTAGTATTTATTGAATGTCCGAACCTAGATTATTAATTATTAATATATCAATATTATTTGTCCAAACCTAATTACGAAGCATGATTCTTTGCCAAGTAGGATTCTGAAGCACCAGAAACAGCCACGTAGGCTCAGCGTATTCGGGAATAATATATAGGGAGGATATATATAAAAAGAATTACCATTTTTTAAAAATGGCAAGTCAAAATGTGGTCAAATATGGTTGAACATTAATTGCATGCTATTAATAGCAAGTTTTTACTTTATTTATTTTTTTATTTACAAACGTGAATCATTAATTATTGTATTTAAATGTGGAGTTTGTTAAGTGGAGTTTGTTATTTATTTTAATGTTCCTTTTTCATTTTCACAAATTAAAAAAAAAAAACTTACTTTAACATATAATCGTGTATCACATTGCAAATTTTATTTTATTAAAAAAATAACTTACAACTAATTTAATAATATAAACTTACGTTAGTATTTACAAAAAATCATAAACTCTTTTAACATAAACTCGGCTACTACAATTGTTTTAATCGGATGTTTTTATTTAAAAAAAATTACAATTCATTTATATGGTGGATGTGGTAAATTACAGTTCATTTAAACCCCTAAAAGATAAATTGGTGGATTTGGTTCCATTAAGTTCTAAAAATTTAATGTAATTTGAAATTCAAAATACTTTCGCATATTTGATTTAAAAAAATTCAATTGTGTTTTTTATTCAAAAAAATCAGATTGCCGAAAAAATTACCTTAAAACTTTATAATTTCATTTTTTTAGCTTTCAATTTGCACGAAATTCAAAATGGTTTAAGAATCTCAAATCAATCGAAATTCATCTCTTTAATTTTTTTTCCATAAATTTCAAAATTTTACAATAATTAAGTCAAATTACAAATGTATTGTTTCAAAAATCAAGAGGATAATTTTGAAAATAGATAGTT